AAAAACCAGCACCCAGACACTGATGAGGAGCCAGCCAATGAGTTAGGAGGAAAACCAGGAGGGTGTAGTGTCCTAGAAGGCAAGGGAAAAAATAACTTTGAAGGAACAGGGAGAGATCCACGTGTTAAACGCTGCTGGTAACTCAAGTAAGATAACCCTGAAGCTGGTCATTGGATTCAGCAACACGGAGGTCACTGGTGCCCTTCACAGGGGGGCTATTGGTGGAGTGGTGGGGAAGAAAACCTTTGGGGAAGGGTTTCAAGGAAGGACAGGAGGAGAAGGGTTGAAGAGAGTGACAGTAGCCAACTTTTCAGTCAACAAGAGTAGAAATTGGGCCAGGAGTTGAAGGAGAACAGGAGGGTGGAGAAGTGTTTTATTTTTGTTTTGTTTTAATGGAAGACGGGGAAATTGTACGTTAATGGGACTGCTCCTGGAGGAAGAAAAAAACTGACAGAGTGGGCAAAAGAGAACTTCTGGAACCATGTCCTTGAGGAGGCAAGACAAGATGGGTTATCAGACACAGTGGAAAGGGTCTTGTTAGATGGAGCTCAGGTGGTTCGTCTGTTGAAATGGGAGAGGAGGCAGAGGCGGTGGGCACAGACACAGGTAGGTGGCAAGACTGAACTTTCTAATTTCTGCTGTGGGTGGTATGGCAATGCTTCAAGGGTCAGGTTATTATTGGAACCACTGTCTTTAGTGACATGGGTCCAGCTTCAAAGAATCCATGTCTCTCAACTCCTTGTGCACCTTTCTCTCTAAGGGTGGAGATTATACAGGTAGAAATTGGTTTCTGTCCTGGGATCCGTCTATCTTTCTGTCTCTGTGTCTTTCATGTTCTCTGTCCTCTCCCACCGCTCTGGCTTTCTCTCCCTGAATATTTGTTCTTTTGTGCCTTTCCTTGTTTCCCCCCTCCCTTCATGTTTGTATCCAGGCCCCTCCTCTGGGCTTGGGTGTGGGGCCAACCTTCTCGCCCCAACCAGCACTTCCAACCAGACCTTCCAGTTCCAGTTTGACAAAGAAGCCCATTTTGAAGCCAAGCTATAGGGTGGAGCCTCCAAGAACCTCAGGTTCTCTTCATCTCGAGCTCTGCTTATTCATATTCACGGCCCTTAGACTGTGTCTGGCAGGTTCTCTCCCAAGGACCTTCAAATATTAATTCATTGATGGTGCCATTTTACAAATGAGGAAACCAAGGCAGAGAGAAGCCACGTCACATGCTCAAGTCACATAGCTAATACGTGACAGAGCTGGGATTCAAACCCAGGTAGTTTGGAGCTCCAGATGTTAATCACTCTTAACCTCGAGACAACACTGCCCCTTTCTCTGATCCTTGTTTCTTTGTATGGCCCTTATTTTTTGTGGAAAGACACTAATCTATGAAAGGCTCTGGATTTGGTCCAGGCTGCGTGTGACTTCCAGCATCCCACTGCCCTCTACTGGCTCCACTTATCTTGTTGATTAGATGAAGAGGCAGAACTCACCCAGCCCTCAGTGAGTCCATGACCTTACTTCAGTGGGAGAGAAAGCCATCTAGTCCCAGCCTATCAAAACCCCTCATACCCGTGTTGACCTGGTACTCAACCCTCAGTGAATGTCAAAGAGAGCTGCCCCCAGTCCAGGGCCCAGCCCTTCTCAAGTGAGAAAGTTTTTGCTTGAAGTGTGGACCCAGGCCACAAGAGGGCACAGGTACCCCAGTTTCCAGTGACAGCTCTGTCACCTCACTTAACCTGGCATCCTCCCTCTTGCCACCTCATCTGAACCCAGCTGCGCTGAAAAAGAATAGCTCAGCACCTTCCCTGGGCACAGCCCTGTAAAGTGGAGAAAACACAGAGGAAGAGAGCTGGTATCCTTTCGTCACCCTGCACTCGATCAACTATGACGCAGCCCACTCCCACCAAAGCCGTACCCCTCATCTCCAGTCATCGACACCAAATCAACCCACAACTCCAACTGTACCTCAACGTCTCCCCATCCAAAACCTTATCTTGGCCCCCTCTCCAGCCCCAACCCAGTAGGACCCCATGGACACCCTCATCCCCAAACCCCTCCCATTTACAATCCAACTCCATCCCAAACACCAACTCTGGTACCACCTCCAACCCCATGACTCCCCCATCCCATTTCCATTTTCTTCCCAAAATTCACTTGCGTTCCCAATGTTGTTATCAGACCCATCCTAAACTTAATCACCCCAATCCCACATAGCATAGGAGTAATTGTAAAGACTTTGAAATGGGCCCAACAGATTACTAAGTGTCTCAGTGCAAAACTAGATGGGTTATTTGATTCTGTGTGGTCTCTGCATCTTTCTTGTCTTGGAGCTGTTTTTGCTGTGTTGCTAGGGGATGTTGAGTCAGTTCCAATTCGTAGTGACCCCTGTTCAACGGAACAGAACACTGGCTGGTCCTGCATCTTTCTCCCAATTGTTACTACATTTGAGCCCATCGCTGCAGCCCGCGTCAGTCCATCTCATTGAGGCTCTTCCTCTTTTTCACTGACCCTCTACCTAGGGTCCTTCTCCAGGGACTAGCCCCGCCTGATAACATGTCCCAAGCAAGTGAGATGACATCTCTCCATTCTTGCTTCTAAGGAGCATTCTGGCTGTACTTCTTCCAAGACAGACCTATTCATTCTCTTGGCAGTTCATGGTGTATTCAATATTCTTCACCAACACCGTAATTCAAATGCTATTTTATAACCCTGTAAACTATAGACAGTTGACAGCAATGCAAATACCTCTTGTCCATAACCACACGAATGAGTTTTGTCAGGTGGAGGTATACCTAATTTTTCTCCTTTCCTGTGGAATCAGTGAGTTTTGCATCTGTTTGTAAAATCACTTCGGCATTCCTTACCACCTATCCACATGGAGTTTTTTGAATTCTCCTTTGAACCGTTTGTAACTAACATCTTACACGTTCCCTCATTTATTAAGCACTTACAATAAACTCTTTGATATATGTTCACTTTATATGTGCATGAAAGTTAGGGTTATACCTTTTAAAAATGTATCCTTTAACCTTAGATTCTATCCCTACATCCAAATCGTAACACCCTCCACATGGGCCATACCAGCTTGACATGAACCATCCCCTGAAGCATCTCTGCTCCTTGTCCTCCTCCTGACACCACAGCTCTCTCTCTTCCCAGACTCCATCTGGTCCTCATCGCTGGCCTTCTTCCAAATTCTGACCCCACCTCTGTCCTCCCTAATCCTGCCCCGTCCACCTCCCTGATTAACTCAGGGCCCCACCCAGCCGCAGTTCCAGGAGACACCCATTCATTCCCAAAACACCACCCCTTCCTCCTTCCTCTTCCCCTTCATCACAGCCCCCAGAATACTTTGGATCCTGCTTGTCCCTCTCCACCGATGTCCCCGTGGACGCCCTCGTCCTATCTGGTCCTGCTCCTGAAAGGATATTTATTCAAAATACTAGTTTCCCAGGGCCCATCCCTGCCTCACCCCAATAGAAGGACAGTTGACTTTTCTCTCCATCTTTCTAAATATTCCCTTCTTGTACCCGATGGTGGTGTATGGGGGTGAGGAGATGAGGACATGGCATCTAAGATGATGGAGTTGGAGTCAAGCATCTTACGTCTTTTCAGAAGACGAAGTTGGGGCTGGGATTAGACTGGAAATAGAAATTTGGACATGTTGGGCTTGATGTTGAGAGAGAAATTTGGGATTGAGGGTAAGACTGGCATGAACGGATAGTCTGTGTTGTTGGTGTTATGTGCCGTTGAGTCGGACCCAACTCATAGCGACCCTTCCTTGGGTTTCCGAGGCTGTATCACTATGGAAGTAGATTGCCCAACTTTCCTTCCGAGGAGTGGCTGGGGGGTTTGAATCGTCAGCCTTCTGGTTAGCAGTCGAGTGCTTGAGGCACTATGCTACCAGAGCTCCCAGATAGTCTGTAGGTAAAGCTTATGGTCAAGGTTGGGTACAGAGATGGGAATAGAATGTAAAATGTCCATTTGGGAGCTGAGTATATGGAAGATATACATGGGGCTGCAGATGGGGTTGGACGTAGGCATGGTGTTAACAACCAATTAGACTCACGCCATGCAGACAGTCTTAACTCATAGCAACCCCCATGGGGGTCTTTGCGGAAGTAGATCGCCCCATCTTCCTACCACAGAGCAGCTGGTGGGTTTGAACCACTGACCTTCTGGTTAGCAGCCACATGACTTACCCACTGCAGTGACCAGAAAATGCATGGGGTTTGGGGTGGGTTTGGGGACGGGAACGGACTTTCCTCTGGTTGGATTTCACTGCTTCCAAAGTTCACAGTGGGGTTCAAGCCGGGCTTGGGCGGGTCCAAGTCTGGGTCCCAGCTGGTCCCCAACGCTCCGCCCTCGGAGGGCCAAGCCCTGGCAGAGTGGGGGGAGGGGTGCCTACAGCCTGCTGAGCCGGAGGGGGTGGAGAAGGGGAGGCCGGGGACGAGGAAATACTGAGGGCGCTGGGGGAGGGAGTTCAGGGGTTAAAAGCCATGGGTCCGGGCTGAAGTGAGAGGCTGCCGGCCGGCTGGGACTCCAGGCCTGGGCCGTTCTTCCAGGTAGGGTCGGCCTGGGGAGGGGGCGGGCGTGGAGTGATGCAGGGAGGAGGAGGAGGAGGAGGAGGAGGGCTGAGCGGGGAAGGGGACGAGGGCCAACAGCTGAGTCAGGGGTGGCGAGGAACATGGCTGGTGGCGCTGACAGAGAGACAGAAACGTGCAGAGACGGAGCGAGATGGAGGAGGCGGCGAAGATGAACAGAGACTGAGCCGGAGAGCGGACCCCAGGACCCAGCGAGGGGTGAGGGGCCGCGAGCCGCAGCCCCGAGGGTGCAGGCTGCAGCGTGACCCCAGCAGAGGACGGAAGTGGGGTGCAGGCGTGGGGAGATCCAAGGATGGGATGCGCGAGAACACAGGGATTCCAGAAATGGGGGGCTCCGGGCTCACCTTAACACCCCCCCCTTCGACTTCTCCTAGGCCCCGCCTTGCCCCCCACCCGGGAGCCGCCATGTGGCCCTTGGCTGCAGTCATCACCTCCTTGACCGTGGCCTTGACGGACGGTGAGAACGCGCGGGGGTGGAGGCGGGGTGGCTGCTCGGGACAGTGGTGGGAGGGGTCGGGCCGGGGTGGGGGGGCGTGGGGGGCCGCGAGCTCCGCCTCCCGCCCACGCGGGGCCGGGCCCCAGGACCGCCCAGAAAGCGCCCTGCTTGTCCCTGCGTGACCCGGTTTCCCTACTGGGATCAACCCACCTTCCCCACTGAGTTCAGTTTCTTCCCCTCTGACCTCAGACCCCTCCCTGGGGGGGCGCCCTCAGCTCTGTGTCTCCCACAAAGTCCCTTCTTTAACTATTGCACTCTGCACCCCAGCGTCCCCCCCACCCAAGCCCCCTCAAAACACACAGCAGCCCCCATCACATTCGGTGCCTCTTGGCCTCACTGTAAGCTCTGGGAGTCCAAGAAGTGGGACAGACACGAGCTCAAATCCTCCTGCTGCTACTGCCTGGCTGTGTGACTTGGAACAAGTAACTTAGCTTCTCTGTGCCTCCATTTCTTCATCATGAAATGGGAGCCAAGGGTTGATGTAACTACACAAGGAGGGTAATTGGAGTAAAGTGCTCAGTGAATGGCAGGTAAAAGGAACTCAAACATTAGTCATTACGATTACTTTATTATTATTTCTTCATTCCAGCCTCACCCAGAACCTGCTCATTCATGTCGCCTTTAAGCCTTAGGGTGACCCAAAACCTATCTGAGCCCACCTCAAGCTGGTCTCCCAAGCTTTCTCTCCTCACACCTAACGTTCTTCCCTGCTTGCAGGCAAGTTCTCTAGAAACCCCAGACATGCACCATCCAGTCATTCATTCAACCAATAACTGAGTGCCAGGCACTGTGCTGGGTGTCGTTCAAGCTCACACTGTTCCCAGCTCCCAGAGCCTAGCGGGGATGGACACAGACACACCTGAGATAATTATCCTAGTAATTAGTTAATAATTAGTTGCAACTGTGACATGAGACAAAGGCTTGGAGGAGCCAAGCCAGAGATGTAATGGTATCTCCTGACCCACACGGTCTCCCAAAGGAGTTGAGCTGAGGCCTGAAGGAGGACGTAGAGCCAGGCGCCTGGCACTGCCCCTGCCCATCGGTGGGGTGGCCCCTGTCCCTTGAGGACACTCCCAGGCAACATGTCCATGCCCTGAGTGCCTCCTGGCGGCCACGCCCTGGGCTAGGTGCTCCACAGACATGGTTGTGTGGAGTCCTCAGCTGCCCTAGGAGGTGGTACTGTGTGCCGGGGAGTCCATCCAACTCCTACGACCCAAGCCACAGTTGTGGGGTGGATTCCTACTCGTAGCTACCTGTAGGACATCGCAGTACTGCCCCATAGGGTTTCCAAGGCTGTATTCTTTACAGAAGCAGCTCACCAAGTCTCTTCTTCCATGGCGTAGCTGGTGGGTTCCAGCCACTGAACTTTTGGTTAGTAGCCAAGTGCTTAAGCATTGTGCCACTAGGGTTCCTTCCTTACCAGGTGTTGTTGTTGTTGTTGTTATGTGCCCTCGAGTCGGCCCCCACTCAAAGAAACCCCTCCTTGGGTTTCCGAGGCGGTATCACTACGGAAGTAGATTGCCCAACCTTCCTTCCAAGGAGTGGCTGGTGGGTTTGAACCGCCAGCCTTCTGGTTAATGGTCAAGTGCCTTAGGCACTATGCCACCAGAGCTCCTTCCTTACCAGGTAGGTGCACGTATTCACTCCATAGTTTTCACAGCTGAAAAACCCAAGACTCAGAGACAGAAGGGTCCTGTCGCAAATACATTTGCAGTCCCTGAACCAGGATCCAAATCCAGGTTATCCTTCTGACAAAACCACCTTCTTAATTTCCTTCCTTCCACCCTTCCTTCCTCCTTCCTTCCCTCCCTCCCCTCCGCCTTCCCTCCCTCCCTTTTATTCTCCCCTCCCCTCCCTCCCTCCCTTTCTCTTACTTAAATAATAAGTGCTTCAGAGTCTCTGGGTGGTACAGTTAACACACCCAGCTGCTAACTGGAATCTTGGAGGGCTGAGTTGATTCTGACTCATAGTGACCCCATCGGGCAGAGCAGAACTGCCCCATAGGGTTTCCTAGGTAGGAGCTCTGGTGGCGCAGTACCTAAGGCACTTGACTGCTAACCAGAAGGCTGGCGGTTCAAACCCACCAGCCACTCCTCGGAAGGAAGGTTGGGCAATCCTACTTCCGTAGTGATACTGCCTCGGAAACCCAAGGAGGGGTCGCTATGAGTCGGGTCCGACTCGACGGCACATAACAACACCCACAACGTGGGTTGGAATCAACTTGACAGCAGTGGGTTCGTTTTTGGTTTTAATCTTTACAGGGGCAGATCTCCAGGTTTTTCTCCTGCCAAGCTGCTGGATGGGTTCAAACCGCTGTCCTTTTGGTTAGCAGCTGAGCACTGTTGAACACTGCAACTGCCAGTGAGAGATGGAGTGTTACAGTTCCCCGTTTACAGCTGAGAAAATTGAGGCTGGAGTCTTGCGCAAGACTGTAGATAAGGAAAGTGGCACACCGCTGCAGCTGGCTAGCTGACCCACTGCCCGTGCTGTGTCTCCAATGCCAGGCACAGTGCCTGACATGCACAAAGGTCACTCAAGGAGCTCCCACTGTGTGCTAGGTGCCGTGCAAGGTGTTGAGGATGCCACAATGATTGAAGCACTTAATGTGCCTGTTCTTAGTGGACTTTGCAGTCAAGGTGGGGAGATGGGGGAAAAAAGACTTAAAATGGAAATAGGGGAATAACAAAGATTTCTCTGAAGAAAATCAAGAAGGAGGAATGTAATAAGGAATGTCTGGGGTCAGGAGGGATAGCCTTAGACCAGGTGGCCAGGGATGACCTCTCGAAGAGGTAGCATTTGAGTTGAGCTCTCAGATATATGATCTTTAGATTGTACACCATTGTCCAGTAGAACTTCCTGCCGTGAAGGAAAATATCGCGTGTCCACATTATCCAATATGGTAGCCACTGGCTACAAGGAAGGCTTTTGAAAAGTGGCTGGTGCAAAGGATGAGCTAATTTTTTTTTTTTTTAAAGAGCTTGTTTTACATTCAATGTAATGCGTACATTTAGTTTTATTCCCCATTCTCCATGTCCAACCCTAACCCTGTCTCCTCCCCTCCCTACCCTGCAACCCTCATCATTATGCACTCCTGTTTGTCCTGCATGTCCTCGGTTTGAATGTTGGTCCTCTGGTGTCCCATGGTCTATTGCTCTAAGGGAGGTATTACCGTAGAGTATGTGGGTACGTCATCCTGGGTTGAGTGGTCTGCATGTACATCTTGTTAACTATTGGGCTGAGAGCCCGACCCTGAGGGTGAGTTTTATTCCAGGCACAGAATGTATTCCATGGCCATAGTATTAGGGGTCTCACCAGACTCCATCTGACCAGTGATTCTGGTCATTATTGAGTTTTGGGTTTTGTTCCACGTTTTTCTTCCCACTCTATCCAGGATCTCCAGATTTGATTCTCTCCTGAGTGGTTGGCATTGGTAGCTGGGCACCATCTAGTTCTTCTGGTCTTGAGGCCATCATGTCCTAGGGCTGATTGCTTCCAATGCCCTTGTTCTTTTTTGTTGTTGTTGCGTTCTTCTTCACTTCCGACGCTAGGAGGCCATTAGTTGCATCTTAGATGGCTGCTTGCAAGCTTTTGAGACCCCAGTCGCTACTCACCAATGTAGGACGTGGAGCAATGCTTTTAAGTATTTTGTTGTGCCAATTGAGTCTGGTGTCCCCCAGTACTATGGTCCTGAGGTAGTAGATCTATTGGATCTCTCTCCCATAGTGTCGGGATGAGGATGAACTAAATTTTAAATTAAACTCTTTATTTCATTTCAAAACAATTTTTGCTGTTGTTGTTGATCGATGAGTGTCTACCTTCCTGGTGTTATTGTTCAACTTGCAGACTTGTCTGTCATTTGGCTGAAGGTTGAGCCATAGGGGTGAGTTCAGTCCCAGGATTGAAGGGTATCTAAGGACCATAGTCTCAGGGGTTCCTCCAGTTTCTAGCAGACCAGTAAGCCTGGGCCTTTTTATGACGTTGAGTTTTGTTCCACATTTTTCTCCCTCTCTGTCCCGGGCCTCCTACTGTGTTCCCGTTCAGAGCAGTCAGCACCATCTAGCCCTTCTGGTCTCAGAATTTTACTTAATGTTAATTAACTTAAATTTTAATGGCCACAGGTGACTAGTGACCTCCATATTGGATGGCACAGATCTAGAGAAGGAACATTCCAGGAACAGGAAGCGAGAAGAAAGCCTTGGTGTGTTTGAAGAATAGACCCAGGTAGTTGTAACAGATTGGATGAGGGGACAGAGGGAAGAGATGGGGTCAGAGAGGCTGGTACCAGCCAGATGATACAAGTCCTGCAAACGTTGGAAAGGCTCTGGAGTTTATTTTAAAGGAAGCCGCAGCAGGATGTTAAATCTGGGAGTGTCGTGGCCAGACTTTCCTTGTTTAAAGATCCTTGCAGTTGTTTTGAGAACAGTGGATTGGAGGGGTGTACAAGTGGAAGCATTTATGAGACCATTGTAGTCTATTCAGAGTCCGCAGGTGGTGCAAATGATTAATGCACTCAGCTGCTAACCAAAAGGCTGCAGGTTCAAGTCCAACCAGAGGCACCTTGGAAGAAAAGTCTGGTGATCTACTTCTGAAAAATCAGCCATTGAAAACTCTGTGGAGCACAGTTCTACTCTGACACATTTCAGGTCATTGTGTGTTGGAACTGACTCCAGAGCAGCTGATTTGGTGGTGTAGTCACTCAGGCGAGAGAAGATAGGGACTCTGGACCAGGATGGGGGCAGACGACTGGAGAACTGAAGAGATGATGGGTAGTTAGGAGGGAAACCAGGAGGACTTGTTGGTCATGGATGATGAAGGAAAGAGGATAAGCAAGATGACTCCCAAGTTGGGAGCTGAGCACCGAGGTGGGGAAGACTGTACGAGGAAGAGTTTTAGTTGAGAAAATCAAGTTGAGGATGCAAACATTAAGATACATGGGAGATGGTCAAGTTGACAGTATTTATATATTTGGAGTCTAAAAGAAAAGCTCAGGGCTAGAGATGTGAAATTGGGAGCAGTTGGCCTATAGATGACAATTAAAACCATAGATGCTTTCAGTAAATTATGTTGATGCATGGATGGATAGATGGGTGTGTGGATCAATGGATGGATGGATGGGTGTGTGGATCAATGGATGGACGATGGTTAGGTGAAGAGTAGATGGGAGGTGAATGGTGGGTGGCTGCTGGGTTGTTGACTGAGAGGTTAGGATGGATGGGTGGATGGATGGTGGTAGTTAGGTGGTTGTATGGATGGATGGATAGGTGGGTGGATGAGTGCGTAGATGGATAGATTAATGGAGAGGTGAATGAATGGCTAAATTAAAGGATGGATGAATACATATGGATGGATGGGTGGATGGATGAATGGGTAGGTGTATGGATGGATGGATGGTTGAATGGATGGATAGTTGGATGGCTGGGTGGATGGATAGATGGCTGGATGTATGGGTCCATGGAATGGATGGATGGATATGGATAGATGGATGGATGGATGTTTAGATGGATATATGGATGGACGTTTGAATGGATGGATGGGCAGATGGATGGATAGATGCATGGATGGATGGATGGATGGATGTTTGGTGGATAGATGGAAGGATGGATGGATATATGGACGGATGTTTGGATAGATGGATAGATTTCATGGATGATGGATGGATAGATACCGACCAGTTAAACATGTAAGCCAATATCATTTCTGCCTCCTGAAATCCATCTTCATGCAGAAATGATAGAGAAAATGCAGGTGGGAGAATGTCAGGTTTCTGCTTTCCTGACTTTTTACCATACTGGACTCATTCCCTACACTCTTCTCTGAACCCCCACTGAAGAGTTGGGTGTTTCTACAGAAAAGGATGCTGCCTGTTTGCTTTGACTCATCTCCACCGGATGTAAGATGGCAACTCCCAGAGACCATTAAATGAATTATCAGCTTCTGGTCACCCAGAGCAAAATTATGACCCTCTCTCTGTCCAGGAACCACAACTCCAGGCTTCCTCCTCCGCTTTGGATAAATGTTTCTATTAATTTCTCTCCCCTACCAGGCATCTCTCAGGAGTACCCCAAGATTCTGAACGGCACCAATGGAACCAGTGGATTTCTGCCAGGCGGCTACACCTGCCGCCCCCACTCCCAGCCCTGGCAGGTGGCCCTACTAGTGAGAGGGCGGCTGCTGTGTGGGGGAGTCCTGGTCCACCCCAAATGGGTCCTCACTGCAGCACATTGTCTGAAGGAGTATGTGGGGGCCATGGGAGAAGGGGGTAGGGATGAGAATGGGACTGGGGTCCTGACTGGGCGTGGAGTTGGATTTCAAGATGGGGTTGAGGTTAAAATTGGGGAAGGGCATGAGGATGAGAAAAGTTTGGTGTGGAAATCTGGGAGTGGTGTGGGAATAGTTGAGGATTTTGTAGGATTGAGTTGGGAGCAAGGACAGAGATGTGTTTGTTGTTTGGGTATGGGAGGAGTGGGGTTCGCCTGGGGGTGGGGAAGAGGCTGAGGGCAGGACTGGGAAGGAGATGGAGATGGGTTCGTCCATCCCCCTAAGCACCCTTTCCTTCCTTCACCCACAGCGGGTACAGAGTGTACCTGGGCAAGCACGCTCTGGGGCGTGTGGAAGCCAGTGAGCAGGTGAGGGAGGTAGTCCTCTCCATCCCCCATCCTGAATACCAGAGCAGCCCCACCCACCTGAACCACGACCATGACATCATGCTTCTGGAGCTAGAGGCCCCGGTCCAGCTGACTCGCCACATCGGCGTCCTGCCCCTCTCCCACAAGTGCCTACCCACCGGAACCTGCTGCCTGGTGTCTGGCTGGGGCACCACCAGCAGCCCGCAGGGTGAGGTCCCACACGTCTGGCTTGAAGGCTCATAGAATTGATGGGGGTGCAGGGTGAGGGGGATTGGGGCAGAAACAGGAGGGAAGGTGGAGAAAGATTCCTTTTTGTTAACAAGAGCCCGCGGCACGTTCGTAGCATCCCTGGCTCTCTCCTGTTCTCATGCTTGTATCTTTGTCCTCAATGCACCAACCTCCCTTCCCACTGCTCATATCTCTTCCCACCTTTCCTTCTCATGTTCTCCGCATCTTGATTCTCTGCCTCTCACCATCTGTCTTCCTATTTCTTCCCAGCTTCTTCCCTGGAACTTTCTTCCATGGTCTCTCACTCCATCTCTCTCCTCAGCCATCTCCCCATTTATATCCCTTCCTCCCAGTTCCCTGTTCCATCCCTCCCCATCTTTCTCTCCACCTATTCCCCTATTTTTTTTTTTTTCCATACCTGATCATTCTGCCTGTCTACCTATGTGTCCACCTGCAGGTTAGTGTTTGTTATAACTGCTAAGGCAGGAGCGTGTGTGTGGAAGTGTCTACCTTTGTTGTCCGTACATCTCATGTATCTCTCTGTATCTTGCTTTTCTTTAGTATTACTGTGGTGGTCACTCACTTTTGGTATATTGCCTTTCCCTTCAGCCAAATCACCATGTGCCTCTTACCTAGCTAATTGTCCATCCTCTCTGTAACCAACACAGAAAGTTTCTTCTATTTATAAACTTTTCCTTGACTTTTTACAATAGTAGACTCATGCAGTATTTATCCTTCTGTGATTGACACGTTATGACATATTGACATGTTATCCTTCACACAACATAATGGCCTCCCACTCCATCCTCATTGTACTCACTTCCACATGCTTATCTCCAGTTTCTGTCCCTGCCATCTCTTCCTCCAGCTACATGCTTCATGCGTTCCCCCATCTCTCTCTTCCTATCTTTACTTTCCACCAACACCCTGCCCATGCAATGCTCCAACTTAACCCCCACGCCATAGTCCGTCCAGGACAGACAGCCTTAGACCTTTCTCTCTTCCCCAGTGAGTTACCCAAAGACTCTACAATGCGCTAACATCCAGCTGCGCTCAGACGAGGAGTGTCGTCAAGTCTACCCTGGGAAGATCACTCCCAACATGCTGTGTGCCGGTACACAAGAGGGTGGTAAGGATTCTTGTGAGGTGAGAACACGGGGTTTGCGGATTGCCATGCACGGAGAGGGGAAGCCAGCAAGGAGTTAGGGCTGAGACTTGGGGGAGCGGGGAGGAGAAAGTTCCGCTTCCAGTCTTGGGAGAACCTGTCTTTGTAAAATGAGATACCCCCTAGTCAATGAGGTCAAGACATCCATGGACAATGTAACTCGACTCAAGCAACAGCTTTGACCGAGTGGCTTCCCAGATGCCTGTAGTGAGCTCCATAAAGGTTAGGATTCTTTTGGTAGCAAAGACAGAAACCTAAGTCAAACTAGCTTCAACAAAAAGTCAATTCAAACTGGCTCAGGAAAGAAAAAAAAATTTTTTTTTAAACTGACTTTGTTAACTGAAAAGTCCAAGGTCCAGCTGAATCCAGGTGCTCAGATAACGTTTTAAGACTCGCAGCAACTCTCTTCTCTGTGGTAGCTTCATTATTCATTGGGATTTTCCCATGCAAAGGCAAGATGCCCCCAGCAGCTCTGGGCTTACATCCTACCTTCTAAGCAACTCTATTGGAGAAGAATGTCTCTTTCCCCACGGTTTACCCCAAAGTCTTGAGTTTGAGTGTGACTTGAATCGTGTGTCCATCCCTGACCCATCACTCTGGAGAGAACTGTAGGTCCTATGACCAACTGTGGAACCAGACCAAATGACATACAGGCAATCCTCGCGTTACGAACAGTCTGACTTACCAACAACTTCTGTTTGTCCTTTCAAGTTCTGTGAATTTGTTCGCTTTGCAATGATCGAACCAGCCCTTACTCACAACAGAGTCTTCCTCCCGATCACCTCCACTTGCTGAATGTGCAGCTTTAAAATCATTGAAAAGGCTTTGAGACTTTTCTTGCTGGTGGCATAGTGCCTAAGGCATCTGACTGCTAACCAGAAGGCTGGCGGTTCAAACCCACCAGCCACGCCTCAGAAGGAAGGTTGGGCAATCTACTTCCGTAGTGATACTGCCTCGGAAACCCAAGGAGGGGTCGCTATGAGTCAAGTCAAGTCAATGGCAGTGACT